CGTACTATGTAATAATGAACCTAGGGTGTGATTTTGAGTTATTAAACAAAATTGTACAAAAAATTATGAATTACATGCAATGTAATGCAACATTGTTTAATCAAGGCGTGCTTATTAAGAGGATTACTTTTCTGCATAAACAATTGAAGGATAACAAAAAGGTACCTAAATCATGTGCAGTTGAAGTCTCTTTCCTTGATTCTATGTTGTGAATATCGCAAAAGTGGAACACATCTTATTAAAGTAATATATCAACGTTAAAAATTTGTGGCTGATATTTTTAAATTACATCTCATTTGTAGTTTAAGAGAAATACAATTGTTCAAGAGGTGAACTCCTAGCATTGTCCAAGTAGATTAGGCAATCATGTAAGCTCTATTAAATTTCTATGTTTCAGTTAATCGAAGTTTTAAAAACTTTGTTGAATAACTTTACTAATTATTATTTTATTGAGAAATCACTGTTCAGTTAAAGAAAATAATTAATATTTTCTTCAATCATATTTTAAAGTTTTTTTGAAAAATATTTGGATCCCAAAGATTTGTCTAAACTTTATTTTATGATTGACACAATATATAAGTATACAAACTGCATATCTGTATATTATCGTTGTATTATAATATGCAGACATACGAATAGTATACTCGTAATGTATCTACACTGTTTAGTATTTACATTGTATAATCATGTTTGATTAAATGTTGAATCAAACTACGAATTTAATATTCAAATTTAACTATTAAAAAATTTCACATGCGCAGGAAGTGCTTCTCTAAAAAAACATAAATTATTCGATTGGTAATCCTATAATTAAAAATAATAAACATGCTGGATGATGATTGCATTCAACGTGGATTATTTAAGTAATTTATTTCCTCAATAAACTACAGTAAAAATTACCGATCAATGGAAAATTGCTTTAAAAAAATCATTTCGTTTAACGTGATTACCAATCGTAAATCAGAAACCTTTGTTATTATTCTATCCGGTTATCCCATCTTACTTCCTTTTTACATGCATTCGTGAATTGTTTAGGACTTTGTGAATCGTTTGTCGTTGCTAAATCTGGACACAACTTATCCACTGTAGGCGGGCTTACTTTTAGTTCACCGTGTTGTCCTTCGTATTTCTGCGCCGCTTGAGCTTGAAAATCTTGTATACAATTCATTATTTCTGCGTCATGTTCAACAGTAGGAGGAGTGGTCGGTTTCACGGCATAATCTTTCGCTTTCTCTGCATCGTGTATCTTTTTAGCTTTGATCATTATGTCTTCATCAAGTAAATTTTGTTTAGCGAAATAGTCACGGATATTATCCCGTACTACACGCGAGAACTTTTCGGGATTCGTCTCCATGTAACGGTACACAAAAAGATCGGCTCCCACAATGATAAAGTAATGATTGAAAATGTTGATTTGTGCGCCGATGTAGAAGTCTTGAGGAGTATAATATTCCGGATTGTCTCTTCCAGTGTTTGGCTTCGGGACCAGTGTCGCTTTTAAGAAGCAACCTTCTCGACGACCAGAGTTACGTTTTGCGAGTTCTTGCACCACTATCGTGCCATCGCTTAAATTGTACTGCAAGATGAAATCACGATCCCTGTCTTCAGGATGCACCATATCCATTTGCATGGAGTAACGCAGCTTTTTCGGAAAATTGATCAACTGACGGACAACATCCTTTCTCGGCGGTTTAGACGTGAAGGAGAAACAGCCGGTGTAAGTATCCTCGGGTGTACCGAATATTATGTGCGGTGGTGGTACATAGTCTACTGTCGGCTTCGGCTCCTCTTCCGGAAGTGGAATTCTTTCCGGTTGAGTTATTCCCAACATGCCGTGGAAATATTTCCGTGTAAACGAGTCACAGTCGTGCAAAAGAAACCGGCGACTGAATATGAACACCGTTCCGCCTATCTGTAACACAAAAACAATACCAATCGTCTATCTTTGTAATACGTTTTCATACACAGGGTATATGCTTTAAGATTTAACCACCATCTTTCTGATTACCTTGACTTTTTAAACAACACCCTAGATTTTGAATTTCATACAATTGTAGCGGATGTTTATACTATATCACTTTTGAATGATCTTATGTATTTAAAGAATGGTGGTTTATGTAGGCTTGGCAAGGAAGTCATTTCGGTTTTGAAACAACGTTCTATGTATGACAACCAAAAATACTTTCTTGCCAATCCAATAGGAAGAACATACCCCCTGTACAAAGATCCTTCCTTCTTTTTCATTCCTCAGAAAGACTTACGATGAAATCTTTTGGTGTATAATATTCAACAATTTCTGAATCGCCGTATTCTAGATATATGGCTGGATAAGATGATGGTAAATTTTTCCAGTCTTTCGGTACTTTCATTCTCTTTAGTAGCGTGGCTACTGGATCCTTTCCGCAGTTTGGTTTTTGAACTTCTATTACAGATATTGTGTCGTCTGTTAAGAAATACATTATTCGATATACATCTTCGTTCCACGTGGCTGTGAAACACAAAACCATCTTATCATATTCTAGAAATCGTCGTCTAGAATCATCTGGGATTTGTGTGACACACGCGGATGTCCTCTGCTTGGACGCACGGTACGATGTGTAAGGATCTACAGGAGGTTCCTCTTTGTTTCCGACATCTATCCCTTGACTATTTAAAAACTCTCTGGTAAATAGGTCGCAATCGACAATATGATAAATTACGCCATAAATACCTACAATTAACAACATATACTAGCTTGAATATTATGGATCGTAGCTATAACAAAACATGCAACCAGATGAATATTTTTACAATTTTATGCACACAAATACGAACGATTTTTTCATAGATACGTACATACGTCAATCCCAACATTGAAATCCTTCCAATGTAGTATATCACCTTCTTTGTTTTTCTCAATCTTTCCACGCTTAACAAGTTTTCCTTGCTGAAATCCTGCGTTAATAACTGGAGGCTCCATGACACTTATCGAGTTGTCGTCCAAAAAATATAGGATGTTCACATGACGTATGCGATAATGTTCATCAGGAGAATTGAACACTCCTTGACGAAAAAACGCTTTGAAACTAAGGCATTTTTGCGCGAACAATGCATAATGCGGAATAACTTGACGATACGCGTATCCTTTTACACGGCCATATGTTAACGATGGATCATATCTAGTTTTGAGTATTAACACACTTTGTATTAATATCGTTAACATAAGTAACTTTGTATGAGATATAAATCGAATAAACACTGCATCGAGTTTTAGAATCACAATCAAATTGACATGATTGACTTTATATTGTTTATTACTTACTGTACTAGAGGTGTATCTTTATAATATGCAGTTGATGCAGCATCTATTGGTCTTTCTCCAATACCAACTTTACTATCACGCACTACACGATAACCATTCAAAAAATTTAAATTCTGCAGTAATCTATAATCAATAATCTTAAAAGAAAAATTATTTCAGTTGCAATTGTTAAGATATATTATTATGATGTACTCCAATCTGACTTACACTTGGATTTTGAAATGTATAGCCTGGTATATTTGGTAAGTTCTCCATATTAAATTATTAAAGTATTGCACAAATTATTCTTTTATACTAGACATCTTTTTAGTCAAAGATGTCAAAGAAAGACTCTGTTTAAACCTGTTGCTATAACGACACTATTATGTACAATGTATTGATGTAACACACTAATTTCTTAGTATCTATTGCTTCTGACTGAAAATTATAAAATAATTAAGAATTCACAGTGGTTGTATCATTCTCAGGTGAAAGATAACTAGTTCAAGTAGTTATTTGATCATTTATTTCTGCATAAATTATTGACAACAGTAGCATTGGATGGTTTTCACTAAAATTTGTTAGTTGCCTCGATTATGAAGTCACATACTAATTATTTCTTTGAAAATAGCCATACACCCTGCGGATAAGCAGCCGGCTATTGGCACGGTGATCAACCATGCAAATGCAATATTACGAAATAATTTCCATGACACGCCCTCACCGCCACGCGATGCCCATCCCACACAGACAACTGATCCCACTTTGCAATGTGTTGTTGACACAGGTAAACCAGCCTTACTTGCCAACAAAACTGTCACTGCTGCTCCTACCTGCGATCACAATATTAGATTGGAAAATCAACATTCAAATATGTAAGAGTTAGATTTTATATTTATAAAATATTCATACCTCTATAGTAAATCCAGTTGTTGGTGTAATGCGTGCTAAATCTTGACCTAATGTTTGTATAACTCTGCGTCCCCACATCCAAAGACCAGTTGATATCCCTAGACCACCATAAAGTAATATAAGTAATGGAGTTTCTGCTTCTTGTCTAGCCGATCCCTCTGCATATACAGCCCAAAGTGCAATAAGTGGCCCAATTGCATTGCTGACATCATTACCACCATGTGCAAAACTACCAAATGCAGCAGTCAGTACTTGCAGAAAAGCAAATAATTTAGATATTTCGGGTGGTTCTTCATTTTTCCTTTCAGCTTCAGCTTTAGCACCCTCAGTATCTGATCCTGATGCCATTAACAAAGGACTTGCACTACTGTTACCGCGTAATTTTGGTGCTGCTTCTTTGGCATTACCATTGCTACTACTACTACTACTACTTTGTGGGGCTTCTGATATAACAGATAATGCTGTAATTTCTTTTTTATCACAGGTACCAAACTTTGTTGTGGTATTTTCGTTGCTATTTAGTGAAAGTAATATTCTCTTCTTTTGCCATGGTACGACAAATAAATAAACAATAGCAGCCGAAATTGAACCGAAACATACCGCGGCTATTAAACTACCCCACCATGGCAATTTATCGAGCATTAAAACTGAAAACGGAGATCGAACATATTATTCAATTAGGTTGAATATATAAAAGTATTTTGAAATATAAATATAAATATTTACGTTTAGGTCCATCGTGTATAACCGACATAACGTTAATAGCAACAGTGAGACCATATGCTAATGGGAGAACATGGAGACCTTGTTCCAGGGGCTTATTCGCTTGGAGTACTGATTTTCTTAGAAGCCAAAATATAGCACCTGATACAATTCCACTAAGTACAGGACTAGCAAACCAAGATGCAGCTATATTTGCAAGGGCTATCCACTTCACCTACAATAATGAAATATTTATTATATTGCTTGTAATGAGTATTTCATATTAGACAAATTATGACTACTAACCCCTGCAGTACCTCTACACACAAGTGAAAATCCAACTGTAGCACCAACAATGGAATGTGTTCCAGAAATAGGTAATCGTAATGCAGTTGCTAGCATAAGCCAGATACCAGATCCAGCTAAGCTAGATAATGCTCCTATCATTAATTCTTTTTCATGGCCTTCGTACAACGTAACATCTAATATCCCCTTTCTCATCGTATCAGAAACCTAAAAGAAATATTAATTAATACTTTTGTTGATGATCATATTTAATATATGTTTCATAAAGCGATAATGTATATAAAATACCTTATAGCCAATGAGTACAGCTCCAGCAATTTCGAATATAGTTGCTAAAATACAAGCTTGGAATATTGTAAGTACTCCAGCACCAACACTTGTCCCAAAACTGTTGGCAACATCATTAGCTCCAATTCCAAATGCCAAAACAAAGGCCACTAAAAATCCAATCACCACTATCCATACCAAGTTTTCATCATATGGTACGCTCATTTTTATTTAATTAATAGTTGATTCCTTTGAACTATCTGTATATCTTTTGTTTCTATACATTTGTCAAATAACTATTGATATTGAATGTCCTCTTTCCATATTGTTCGAAAGTAATACATCGTCGAATAGAAGGACACACATCGAGGAAGAAGTACTAGTTTACTCTGCTATATCATTCACGTGTGAATACTTTTACATCAGAATATATATTTCTTTTTTTATATTTGTATCCATATATGTATACAAGTACATATATATATATATATATATGAGTGTGTACGTGTGTGTTCGTTTGTGTATGTATGTCTCTTTACATATATAATTTTATTCTTTTTTATTTTACTTCTAACACAATCAATTTTGTAACTTTGTACATATAACAGAGGTAGTATTTTGGCGCAGCACCTATTTGGTAATTGAACATTATGTTTTCCTTGGACACAATTGTACAGCTGCCAAGTGCTTTCTCAGCATTAGAACGATTACTGTGTATACGCCTCTCTAATCATTTGAGTTTTTCTTAAATATAAAATATGATGTTCGATTTGATAATTATTCATTATCAGCGTTTTCCATACGCGGAAACACGCTGACCGCTGGTTTTCCGGCATCTGCAATTAACCAAAATGCGTATATTTTACGCATCACGCACATGGTCTTCGTACAGATTCGTGTATTAGAACATGAAGATTCTTGAAAGCAATGCAACTATTTTAACAATTACCTTCGCACGCACATGATAATCGTCTCAAAATTGATTTCAAAGAACAAGTAGTTTCGACATCCACGAAAGAAATTCAATTATTAGACCGAGAAACGGTTTGCCAATTCTGTTAACGTTCGATCCTGAAGGGGTGGTGTTACCCCGCTCACTTTTCACGTGGTGATAGTTCGTATCTTGATTAAACCTCATATCACTGATAAAGTTTATCCATAAGAAGTTGTTTTTTTCCTTTCCCTTTCAGTTTTTTTCGTGTATACAATTTAAAAATGAAAGTTAAAGTCGTTACGAAGGAGTACTTGTACGAAAGTGGCCGACGTTTTGTAGACTACGAAGTATTATTGTAAACTACAAAAAAGCAACAAAATGGGTGGCCAGTATAGGCAAAGCTTTCAAGCATATTGCATAGAATTTTGTACAAAAGAAATTGTAAAAGATCCGCTCTACCATTACCACTTTTTGCATCATTCTTTGCACGATCTTCCGCGTAGTTCACACTTCGAGATCCATTTTTCAAAAATTATATGGAAATTATACGTTGAATATTCTAACGATATGAAAAACTAATCAAACTGTTCACTAAAACGATAAAATCAAGTAAATAGAAGTACATCAAGTTTGTTAGTCACTTACAAAACCGAAAATTGGTTTGCGAAAATCTTTAGCAACTGGGGATAGCACTCAGATTCGCGTGGGGGTGAGATATTGATCCGCCATTTTCCCGCGAAACAATCTTATACGTATACATACAAAGTGGTTTACTGCCGCATAAATCTGATGTGTAGTATGTACCTGTGAATCGATAGACAATCGATTGGCCACCTTTACAATCAATCCACGTTGATTTCTCTTTAAATGTCATCGCGTTTATTCACAAAGTGTTACGCATTAACCGTGCGCCGGATCTTTGTGGGGGAATGATGAATAAGTCGTTGCATAAAGGGTGTTAAATGAGCTAGGAATTGATGCGAACATAATTACGAATAATCGCCTGTCTGCTCATTCATATATAGTTAAACAAAAAGGTCATCCATAGACAAATTTTCATCAGTAGACGAGCTATTAATACGTGAGCTAATACGAGCTCACAGTTTTTGTAAATTAATATATAACAAGAAATCAAGAATTAATTAATAACAGTATTTACTACAAATTTACAATGTGTACTTTACAAACTGTATTTAATTAACAATATAAGTATTTATTGTTTTTTCTGTTATTAATATTCAGCTTTTATAGTAAATGTGTATGTATAGCCTGTGAATTTAAATTCCTTTCTCAATAATAACTGGTTTAATACAATTTAAATAAAATTTTTTGAAATTAATTTCCATGTAAATTTATACGCTTAGAAGCATAAACAGAATACTAATTTAATAGTAATATGTTTTATTTCATTAAACTAAAAATGGTTAAATTTAAGGAATTATATATTTATCTTAAACCCACATAGATTGAACGAACGATAATTATGTTTTACTTAATATTTTACACATTGTACATACATAGCAACATTATTTATAATGTTTACTTTGTATAAAATAAATTCACTAGTAAGATGGTACTGTCTTTCATTGAGCTTCGTATCTTTCCCTTTCTTCCTTCTCCCTTTTCACTTCTTCTATCAATGGGGTGAGGTATAATACATCCTGTTCAATAACATATCACATATATGAGATAGTTCCAATATTTGTATTACATGGAACAACTTATATTAAACGTGCATGTTGATTTACCTCTTCGTATTTAGTCCATTCTTCTTTTGGTAAAACTCTTTGTTGAAGATTTAGTTGTGCAGCTCTTATTAAGCGGAAATTACGTTCTTCTACTAAACGTTTTGGTAGTCGTCTTAATGCTTCTTCGACATCAGCATCTTCATGTAGGCAATCGTCTCTCATTAAACCTAATATACATTAAAAACATGTTACAGAGATTTTATTAACAAAGATTTTGAACATTAAATCATATTTTTTGGTTTATAGAATACAAATTAATTGTATGAATTATTGAGTTATTTATATTTAACAACTAACTTCTATGAGTTAACATTTCATTCTTGTTACGGTGTATATGTCTCCTTACCATACTGATTAAATCCGGAAGCATTATATGCAAATTTCCGAAGACCCTCATTAGCTGTAAAGTAGTCAAACAAAATTACGTAAGATTACATTTAACATATTAGTTCAATATCAAATTTTAGCACGTAAAGTTTACTTACCAAAAATACGTTTGATTAGTGACATTTTATACCGTGCCTCTTATGTACTGAAAGTTAATTTTTCAAAATCTATTCTTAAGGGCTACTACTCGTTAGAATAGCAATAATGAACCTTGTGTTATAGCGAAGGACCACTGTTGAAATCAATAGAAAAACTTTACAAATCCCTAGGCTTAAATTGCATAACGCTCTTTACCGTCTCATCGCGCAAAATACACTTTAGGATATGAGCAGGTACTTCGTCTCTATTCTCATTGGCTAGTGATTTGTTATTGAAAACTGAGAAGAGAAAGAAGTGCAAAGCTAGTGAGAGGGGACGCAACATGAACGCAAACGTTTATGCGAATGATCAGAAAAGCAGGCTCGCTTTCATTCTATCTCCTTTACTCGTTACTTCTCTTCCCTTTTTAAAAGTCTGCAGATAAACTGCTAGATGTTCAATTTTATGGTAGGGATTGTTATGCGTGGTTATGGAGCCCATTTTCGTTTGACTAAATAATACGACTAGACGCCTAGACGGTGAGAAGCGTAAAATGTTATATACATATATATGGATTTGGATAGAGTTAACTGACCCTTCGATATAGTAAGAAACATTACTGGTACAATTATTTAATTGTAATGTATAATTTGATTATCGATATTACGCAATTTAAAATTTATAATGTAACAATGGATTTTGAATTTATGACGCAAAAGGTAAAACACGCGTTATAATGTTAGAAAATGTTCCTATAAACTTAATGCGAAGTTGTTGCCAAGACGTATAATTTCTTCATGAATCTTATTGAGAATCTATTACGTTAACTTCTTAGGTATAATTCTTCAAATAAGAACAGTTTAATTCTATTCGAAACGTATAATAACCGTATTTTGTCATAGAACTATTTCGAAAATACCCTAGATTGTCTTACAGGTGGCATAACACACCGAAGAGGAACTATTTTTTCGACGCGTAGGTGTTCGGTGGTTAGTATATAAGCGCAGAGGGAACTACTTTCAATGCCTCTTCCTCAATAAGAGTAGAGTTGTGTTCACGTGTGGTTGTGTCTCCTTTTTCCACAAAATAGGTCACACAACCCACCTCCATTCGTGAAATAACTCTTCTATAAAAAAAAACCAAAAAAAATATAAAAATTCCAAAAAATACAAACAAAAAAATCGAAAAACCGTAGCTGAAAACCGTGAAACATAAGTAAAGTGTGGAAAAAAATAGTAATCATCGCGTTACGAAGAGCAACGTGGTCGGAAGAGCGCAAGCCATATTGAAGGAACAGGAGAAACCAAAAACCAGAGTATTTTGAACGTAAGCAGCCTGCACGACGTAGAAATACTACAAAAATGAATCCGGGAGCTCCGAATTATCCGATGGCCTCACTTTACGTGGGAGACCTGCATGGGGATATCACCGAGGCGATGCTTTTCGAGAAGTTTTCATCGGCTGGGCCTGTACTCTCGATACGCGTTTGTCGTGATATGATCACGAGACGTTCCCTCGGTTATGCTTATGTCAACTTTCAGCAACCGGCTGATGGTGAGTATATTACTGATTTATTTCGATATTTCTATGACCTACATTCGAAAAACTCTTCGTAAATCTTGTCCTTTAGCTATATCATTTGTCTGCGCGTGACACGTGTTTCACATCGTACGATGCCACCATATTGAAATTTACATGGAACAAAGTAGAATATGTGTAGTAGTGACGGTTGGTTGAGTCATACCTTTTATTTTTCCGTCATTTCCTTTTACGTTTCATAGATGATAAGCAGCTGTCGTGTATAATGGCGTTGTTAATGATAAATTATATCGTATCATTTTTTAGTATCTATAAATTGTATCTAAACAATATTATTGAATATTTCACATATTACCATTATAAAACGTAATTAATATG